AGCTTCTGATTCCCCTAATCAGGACAAAGCTATTCTTTCCTGTAGTTAGGTCCTTTATTTGGGGGGGAGGGGGACTAGGCTGCTCTAGAACAGCTAATTCTCCAGCCTCATTCTACATAGTGATGAACTACCAGCTCCAATACAGATTATTTATCAACCTTTAAATAGTTTAGCTTAAAGACCCTCTTTTAGAATTTGGTTAAAATGTTAAGTCTAATCCCCACTCTGATAGCATTCTTACCTGTATGTCAACAAAATCTATTTATTACCCATCCCCGAACACACCTGATACAACTAACATATGTTTAAGTTTCAGCAAATTTTATTACTTGTGTTAATTATAATTCATGGCTCATTATCTTGAAGGGGCTAGAAACAGAAACCTAAAGGATAGAATACAAAGCCCCATACACACTGGCCCCACATTATGCTGCTGAGGGAGGGACTTTAGCCTCACAGAACCACAACCAGGAAAAGGATAGAAAGCAAGAAATATTAAGGCTATAAAAGATCTCTAGAAATAAAGGTAGACAGAAACTAATTTGATCAGGCTTCAGTTACTATTAAAAACACTTAAATCCATGTAAACAATTCCAAAATTCTACATAGAGGCACCACTCAGCCCTGCCCCAACTCCATCATAATGAACACCTCTATAAGTGGTTCTCAACCTTCCTAATGCTTGTAACCCTTTAATACCCTCACATTGTGATGTCCCCCAACCATAAAATTATTTTCATTGCTATTTATAGTTAACTTTGCTACTGTTATGAACTTAATGTAAATGTTTTTCAGTGGTCCACCTGGGGAAAGGGACATTCAACCCCAAGTATCAGGGTTCAGAAACACTGCTCTATAAGGTTATGGAAAATCAGTACTTCAATTTGGAGCAAGCATTAAATCTTTAAAGAGGTAAAAAATCTTCCAGGAAAAAAACGTAACTAATCTAATCCACTACAATATTAAACACAAAATATTTAGCTTTCACTAAATCATATATAACTGTGGATGTGGCCAAAGGAGGACAAGTATGAGCTGCTTTGATGTTTAAATGGTTCATGCAGTTGAATTCACCAACCCTGGCTGCAGAGACTCTTAAAAATAAATAACAAAGAAGGGCTAGGTGGGGTTACAGCTCAATGCCTATCATGTGTTAACACCCTGGGTTCAGTCCCATTACATCAAAAAAAAAAAAAAAAAAAAAAAAAAAAAAAAAACCATACCGAATTTAATGATAACCAACTACTGAATGCAATGTCTTTAATCTATTAATGTCTAATTACACCGTAGCCTCTTCTGAAAAATAAAAGCAACACCTAATCTACAGCACAAACTTGTCAGGAATACGTATGTTAACAGAAGGTTTTTACCCATCTATGTCAGGATACAATTTTAAGTTACCTGCTTTCCCCCAACCAGTGATTTGAGTTATTTTAAATTTTTTATTTGCACTTCATAAACTGAAGCTTTATATGATATTCATGTATTGTTTTTGAAACCAGAGGCTATGCCGGGTGGTGGTGCACACATTTAATCCCAACAATAGGAAGGCAGAGACAGTTGGATCTATCTCTGTGAGTTTGAGGACAGTCAGGACTGTTACACAGAGAAACCCAATCTAGCGGGATGGTGGAATGGCAGGCAGGCAGATCTCTGTGAGTTTGATTAAGGTCAGCCTGGTCTACAGAGTGAGTTCCATGACATCAAAAACTACACAGACAAACCCTGTCTCAAAAGGGGGGGGGGGGGGTGATGGTAGCAAGTGCTCAACCCTGAGCTACACTCCTATCTAAAACAACTAAGAATCTGGAACAACTGAAAGCACTGTTATTGTACCCTTCAATTCTTATTATTTTAGAATCTTTACTTAAGAATAGCAACACATAGTGTTTTTAAAAAAAAAGCAAAAAGGGTGTAGTGAGGAACTCCTTTAATAATCTCAGCACTCAGGAAGCAGAGGCAGGTGGAACTTGGGAGTTCAAGGCCAGCCTGATCTAGAGCGAGTTCCAGGGCAACCAGAGAAACCCTGTCCCAAGAAAAGCAAAAGAAGAAAGGCTGGGAAATACAGTGTCTGCCTAGCATGTATAAAGACCTTGAGTTCAATTCCCAGCAACACACACACACACACACACACACACAGTTGATTCTTAAATGATCTGTTTAAGGTTAATTAACAGTACAAAAACATTTTTACATGCAAAAATAAAAACATCCCCAGTTTAGGAACCTGTTCTCCAAGTAGGAGGTCTTGACCTCTTACAAAAGAGCAACAGAAATTCTGGAGCCTTTCCCCAAACTGAGAGATTGCTTCTCCTGGACAGGAACAAATTCCTTAAGGATTCTGCTTCCTAAATCTCCTATAAACTCAAGGACTCAGCCTGGGAGAAAAGGGTAAAATTTGATCTTTCCCACGACTGAAAACTGGCTTCCTTAAGGAATGATGTCCAACTCTGACTATCTGGTAGTTTACATGCCTCATTTCTAGCTTTTCAGGGTGTAATGAGAACTTCAGGGTCCTCCCACCAGGTACTTTAAGAGAAGGTCTAACCCTGCACTGTAAACCTAACCAAAAAACTAGCTGATGTTTTTCAAATCACCTAAGAAAAACGAAGACAAATTTACTGATGGCGTCTTTGGGGAATTCTGCATGTTGATGGGTCAAAATCAAGTTTCTTAGAAAGTAGAATTTTAGATAGTTCATCTTTTGGTAACTATTCAAAGCCCTAAATTAAATATAGGAACTACAAGAGAGGAAAGTTGTTATCATTTGTTACACATTTACTGACATACACAGAGGGAGAGGGTTTTGTAGTACTTCAAGTATGTACATGTTAGAATCAGGGTATTAATGTGTTGAATGTTTTTCAAGTAACATACACTTTAACTGACAAAAGTGTCTATTCCAAGAAAAGCTAGGACAGGGCGATGGCTCCCTGTGAAGAGTGGTACCAAGCTTGACCACCTGAGTTTGACTCCTGGGGCTCTCACATCGAGGGAGAGAGCCAATTCCCTCTGACCTCTACAAGCAACATAATTGTTTTTAACCACTAGGATTTAAAAGACACCATGTCAAGTAGACTTGATTGTTCACCATGTAAAGGACAGTAACAGCTTACGTTGCCTAGAGGTATTAGGCCATCTAATACCAAGAAACCTCGAGTTTACTACTTAGGACAGAAATTAGAGGTTACTCTAAATATGATGAGCATAATTAAGGCAAAATTAGTTTCCTCTACTTTTCCATCAACAAAATGGGAAAAGGAGTTGGAAAGATGGCATTTCCCCCCCCCCAACCGTAGTGTTCTTCAAATACACTCAATTTGTAATCCGGCACATCCACTTACTTTCTTGAAAGAAAGCAAAGGGGCTGGGAACAAGCTTACCAGCACCCAATATGGCACTGTCACAAGCAAATAACCCCACACGGCAGCCACCATTTTGAGCAGCAGGATTTAATTAGACTACCTCAGGATTTCAAACCAACTAAAATGAAACACAGGACGTCAGAAGCATCTCTTCCCCGTTAAGATTCCGCAAATCCTTGATCTTTGTAGTCCAATTTCATTACAAAATTTCCTCACAAAAACGTTCGTTACATCTATGTTCAAACTTTGTAAACAAACGCTTTGAGGTTTCGTGAAATCCCCAAGCTACATTTTCCTAAAACGTGGAGAAGTCCACGACCTGGAGAACCCTACCAACCTACTCACATTGTTTAATAAAAGTACCTCCAAATGCCAACGAGTGGCCCTAGTTGCAGCCTACATTTCTCTTCATTCTCCTAACCCAGCTCTGGGGATCGGTTTAGTTTTCCGATTTCATTAAGTGCAACAAGAGCAAGTTCCCACGCTTCATTCATAGGAGAAGCAAATAACATTTCTGCCAACACAACTGAATTTAAAAATAAAAGTGAGCAAACATTTCAGAAGTCAACAAATTAAAAGCAAGGTTCATGGGGGGGGAGAGGCAATCACATCCGCCAGACCTTCCAATTAGATTACTTTTCGATTATTTCAACTGTAAAGCCATTCACGGAACTGAAAACAATAAACTGACAAACAGTTCCGTGTACCTTTGTCCCAAGGAAAAAGGTGGTGAAGTCACTACAGATTACCAAAGGAAAGAAAGCAACTCAACCTGCCGACCAATCATATATTTCACACCTCCATCCAAAAATAAAAGACGAGATGCTGCTGCTGCTGCTGCTTTTGGGCCATCTTACACATTCCGTTTCCCACACTCCCGCCACTGTCCTAGCCACTAGGACCCTCCGATTTTAGTCCAGTTATCACAAAGCCTCAGGTCTTGAAAGCACCTTCGGCCTGGCCAGAAAGCCATCCCTTTCCTCCTCGCTCGCCCGGGGGAATAATGGTGGCGAAATCAACTCAGGGAGAGAGCGAGACCTCCCCGACTACAGAGGGCTGCACGTTCCCCAGGCGGAACGTTTTTAAAGGGGAGAGGGATCCCCCAACTTTCTCTCCACAGCCTCGCGTCCCGAGCGGCGGTGAGCACCCGGCGGTCCCACTAGGAGAACGCCCCAAGCCCAGGCCCCGTCCCCGCCCGCCCGCCCGCCCGCCCGAAGTTCACTGGAAGAGCCGAGAGTTCCGGGCCTCCGCAAGTCGGGCAAGTGCGACCCCGGCGAGCGACCCCCGAGCAACGCCGACCCTGCCCAGGGCCGCTCCGGCCCCCGCCCGTGCGCCCGCCACCGGTCCCCGTCCCCGCCTCAACAGCTGCTCCGGCGGGGAGCGCGCGCGCACTCTCGCCCTCAGGCCAGCCGAGAAGTCCCGGGAGAGCCCCCGGGTCCCGCGCCGACAAAAGCAGGCTCGACCCCCGCCTGCTTCTGAGAGCGCGAGGGGCCGCGGGGAGCCCGAGCCCACCGCCAGCCTCGTGCCCGCCGCCGCCGAGCCCCTCGCCCTCGGCGCCCGCACTCCGCGCCAAGTCGGCGGCCCGCGACTCCCCGCGGGGAAGCGCAGAGAAAGGGCGCAGCGCCCGCCACTCACCTCGATCTCGAAGTCGGGCAGGCGGAACGCCGTACGAAAGAGCGAGCAGAAGTGCGCGATGGCCGGGACTTCCCACCAGGAGCGGAGCTCGCCCAGCCCGGCCGCGCCGCCCTCCTCCGGGCACATCTCCCCGGCGCGCTCGCCCGCCCGCTTTCCCTCGCTCCGACTCCGCCGCGGGCAGCGCCTCTCAGCGCGCGGCGGCTCCCGCCGCTCGGCGTGAGCACAAGCTAAGGCGCGCCGGGCGGGGGGCGGCGGGCCGAGTCGCTGAAGCGGCCGCTGCTGCTCCGGCAGCCGGCGGGGGCCGCGCGCTCGCCCCGTCCCGCCGCGGCCGTGCGGCCGCCCCCAGTCCCATACAATATAATCCACTCAGCGCCGAGGAAAACAGATGGGGCTGGGGGTGGGGAGGGGGCCCGGCAGAAGCCTGGGGGAGGGGCCGCCCACGAGGAGGGGGCGGGGCCGGCGCGCACCACAACAACAACCCCGCCCCCACCCCTGCGCGGACAGCTGCACTGAGGGAGGAAGGGGGAGGGGAGCGGGCCGGCCGCGCCCCGGGAGGGGCCGCGCGGGACGCGGAGGGGGCCGCGCGCAGCCCGCGGCCGGCGGGGTCGGGCGGGGCAGAGCTGGGCCGTGCAGGTGTTTGGGGCCGCGGAGTCGGGCGACTTTGGGGACGGGAGACAATAAGGGTCTCTCCCACCCCCACGTGGCCGCAGTGGTCGGGTCCTTTTAAAGGGCCCGCTGGGTGGTGCTCTCGCTGGGGGCGAGCTCCGGGAGTGCGCACGTGTGGGCTTTCAGTTGTTACTGATGGGGAGGGTGGTGCGGCAGAGCGAGTGGGCTGTCCACGCCGGGAAGCCGAGGCCGCGGGAGACGCAGCGCTCTCCACCTGTTCCCCGGCGCTTTTATTCCGCCGGAGAACGGGACTTGGAGAAGGGCTTGAAAGTGCCTCTTCCTCTCCCCAGGGACGAAGGTGGCGGGGCTGGTTAGGCTGAAACCAAGTAGGATGGAGGGTAGAGTGTGGCGGGAAGGGTGGAGTAGGAGGGGGGGGAGGCACCAATCAGCAGCCTAGCGGGAAGAGCAATTTCCCCCACCCCAGGGAACGGACACGTGCAGCCGCACTGGAGGGGACTGGCTTGGAGCCCTGTGACTGCCCTCGCCGGAGCCTTGCTGCGGGCGCGAGTGTTCACAATGTGGCTAGGAGGCTGGGGGGGATGGGGAAGAGGCTCGGGACTCTGGGACGTGTGTCCGGGTGGGGGTGGAGACCTGCCCGGGCTAAGGGAATGTGCTCCGGGAGGAGGGTGCTGAGGCCACGGGCTGGAGAAAGGGTAAATGCCGTTTAGGACGTCGGAATCCTGCGAAACCGGAAGGGGGAATTCCCCTCCAAAAACAGTCCAGAAGTTTGGAAGAACTGCATTGAAGGCTCGTCTGTTTGTATTGGTTTGCGCTTGGGCAATTCTGCTCAAGTCTCAGAGTCCTGGCTGGTTCTCTACTCCACTTCTCGAGCAACACCGGCCCTGACGTGCACTCGAATTTAGCTATTTACTTAGCGGAAGGCACAACCTGGAGAGAATAACAGCAAGGATGAGGAACGAGTTGATATGTTATATGTAGAAGTAGCTGCCTGGGTGATTCCACCTTCCTACACCCTCACCTATTCTGATCATTTTAATAACCTCTTGCGTCTTTGTAAGGCAGCACTTAGAAACACAAAATCCTCAAGCTATTTCAAGCGAGTCTTTTGTGAACCAATTAATCTTAAGATCCTTCATCTTGAACCTGGAGAGAGGGCTCCACGATTACGAGCACTGACTGCGCTTCCAGAAGACTCGGGTTCAATTCCCAGTATCCATATGGCAGCTAATAACTGTAACTCTTAAGATCTGACACACAGACAACGTGCAGGCAAAACAGCAATATTCATAAAATAAGAAATATAAACAAAAAAACTACCAACCTGTAGGTAGTTAGCAACCCCCATTTGTTTATATATTTTTTTAATGTTTTTAAAACTCAGCTACTCTGTAGGTGCCTCACCAATAGATGGGGGGGGGGGGAGGAGGTAGCAGGCCCATGTGGAATTCACTGCATCTCCTGTAATGTTGTATAGACGTTTTGTTTTGTGTCAAGGTTTCCCCTCCGTAGCCCAAACTGGCCTCAAACTCAATTCACTCCTGCTTGGCTTTCTCTGAACTGTTGTGCCACACCCTTTTCCTTTGAAAAGGGTTCCATAAAATCCAGACTAGCTAGCAAGCAGGACTCTATCGTGTGTTATCACCTTGAACGATTCTTCTGCCTGAACTTCCCCGGGTGCTGGGATTAGACTTGCATCTCTGCCTGATGACATTTCTTCACACTGGTGTCTAATCCATTATACTCTGACCATTCTCACTCCTGCCCCCTGCCATCCCCTGGCTATTCTGAAACTCGATTTGTAGACCAGGATGTCCTGGAACTCACAGAGATCAGCCTGCACCTGAGAGGCAGAGGCTAGCAGATCTCTCTGAGTTCCAGGACAGCCTGGTCACAAAGCTACGAAGAGGAACCCTGTCTTGAAAAACCAATAATAATTATTAAATTAGTAGGTAAATAAATTAGCAATATAAGGAAGCAGAGAGGTAAGAGAGATTTCAGCAATCACTACGGTATTTGAATGCTCATTACACTCACGGACCCCATTGTAACCTACTCCCCTATCCACCATCCACATCGCTGCCAAGTCCTAAAAATCAGCGAAGCTGTTATGAAACTGGAAATGCTGCACCTCTTACTGGGGTCAGTCATGGTCATAACCTCTTTCTGGGTGGATTTGCCGCTGAGGCCGGTGTCCACTTGAGTGTCTCATATGGAGTCATGTGATTTGCACGTCAGCCATAGAATACTACCACTATGTAACTCTGATTCAGAACGGCTCTGTAGTTTGGGCTTGCTTCCTTCTCTCTGCCATCCCTGCCACCCACAGTTCCACCTCAACCCCTACCTGCAGTCTGGGTGCCATCCAGGCTCTAACAGTGAAGGAACTGAAAATGCCTTGGGTCGCTGGGAGACAGAGGCAGATGATCTCTGTGAGTTTGAGGCCAGCCTGGTCTACAGAGTGAGTTCCAGGACTGTTAACACAGAGAAACCCTGCCTTGAAGAACAAGAAAAAAAAAAAAAATTAAAAGAAAATGCCTTGAGTCTGACCAAGTGGTCTAACACTTTGCTTCCATTTGAGCTCTGCGTCTTGGAATTGCTAACCCTGGATCCTTGCCCCAGAACTGAACATTTGTTTCACCTTTCCCTGTGTGCTTATCTGCTTCAGACTTGTTTTCTGAACTAATCTGGAATCTAGAATAATGACCCCTGTAAGAATGTTCAAACATGTGCCCCCTTAGATGTTCCCCTTGCTTCTGAGTGGAGCTGCAACCCCTGACTGTTACAGCACAGCCCACTTTTCTCCAATCACTGGGCTTTGGATCTTCCTTACACCATGTCTTGCTCTTTCCTACTCAGGAGCCAGCACCGCTAACCTCAAGTGACCCTGGGGATAATTGTTTCATATTCCCCACAACTTATTTACATAACCTCTTCTCCCTGAGTATTTTCCATTAAATGGGAAATTGGGCCTAACAACCTGCGCTGAAGTCCCTGAACCCACATGGTAGAGAGAGACCCAAACATCATGTATGTGCCCTGTCATACGTGCCGTGCACATCCAAACACATAAGAAACAAAGACATTGTGGGGCAGGCCCTCATTCTCAACACTCGGGAGGCAGAGACTCAAGAATCGAAAGTTCAAGTTCAACCTCTACTACACAAAAGTTTAAGACTACCCTGCGCCATGTGAGATTCTGTATCAAAAACAAAACAGGGCTGCAGGATGGCTCAAGAAATAAAGGTGCTTGCCACAAAGCCCGACTACCAGAGTCTCATCGCCTGAAATCACATGCTAGTGGGTGTTATGGTGGAAGCTTTGTCCCAGCCCCTGGCATCAACAAACCCACAGTCTGGGATTTTATGGTGCAGATTCCACCCAAGCCCTCCTCCCCTTCATCCATCCAAACCCAGCTACATCTCAGAAAGCCCTTCTAATGATGACCCCTCCCCCAGAAATGCTCAAGACCACTCCCACAGGATATTTAAATTGCCTCCCCTCCCCAGAAAATAGACAAGTGGTTTTCCTGGTCTCTCCCATCTCCTCTCTGGGGGGGGGGGGGGCTGGAAGGCCATCCAGGAGCCTTGTATCCATTAAACATGGGCTGCTTCTAATTCGGTTTGATTTGGATTGCTGCATCAGCATAGAGGCTTATTGGGTGCAGAAAGTTTTCATCAGGAGGGAACTGACTTGTCTGACCTAGACAAGCATGCTATGGCACACATACACATGTAAATTTTTAAAATCTATTGTGATGTAGTGGCTACATGCATGTAATCTCAGCACTCAGGAGAATGAAGCAAAAGGATCACCACAAGTTTGAGGCTAGCCTGAGCTACATGAATCAAAGACCAGCCTGTTCTAAACAGTGAGACCCTGTCTCAAAAACATAAAACAATGGGCCAGCAAGGTGGCTTAGTGGATAAAGACACTTGCCACCAAGACTGACAACCTGAACTCAATCCCTGTCACCCACATGGTGGAATGAGAGAATCAACTCCTACAAATCATCTTCAGACCACACATGAACCTATGGCATGCACACAAACATCCCCACACATGAATGCACATGCACACACACAGAAATGTAATGAAAAAAAATGTAAATACTCAGGGCAGGTGGTGGCCCACAACTTTAGCCCCAGCACGCGGGAGGCAGAGGCAGGCAGAACCTGTCCTGGAACTAACTCATTCTGTAAACTAGACTGGCCTCCAGTTCTCAGAGATGCACCTGCCTCTGCCTCCTGAGTACTGGGAATAAAGGCATGCACCTGTTACTCCAGTTCCAGAGGATCTGAAATCATCACAGCAATTTTTGAATTTTTAAAAAAAATTTAAAAGTATATCATTATTAAATCATCCCCCCCATAAGAAAGTTATAGGTTTATGATCAGGACATTCTCACCCTGACAAGAAATCCTCCCTCTTGTAATAATCAAAGAAACAGGGGGCTTTTACTAGGTGATCCTTGATTAATTTTAAATCCATGCAGAATATTGCTGCATACATCTCCTACCTGGAAGGCAGAGTCACAAGAATTGCCAATTTTAGGCCACACTGAACTACATAATGAGACCCAATCTCCAGAAAATTAGGGACTGGAGAGATGGCTCCTCAGTTAAGACTGCTTATTGCTGCTCTTGCAGAGGACCTGGGTTCAGGAAGGATTCCAAGCACCCACATGGGGCCCACAACCACCTAAAACTTAAGTTCCAGGGGATCCAGCTCCTCTTCTGACCTCCCTGGGCTTC